CTTTGGATATTGAAGTGAGCATTTGGTGCTGCACACCAGGCCTGGTCCCTTAGCATTTACTGCTCTGTTTTTAATCTTGTCTTGCTCCAGGAACAGCTCTGCTTCTCCTTGTTGGCCCTCTATGAATCTGTACAGAATGGAACCAGAGTTAGACAGCCCCCACCTCATCTCACGGGGGGTAAAATCTACAAGGTGTGCCCTCATCAGGTAAGAGGATAAGAAAGATACTGTGAATTTGTCCACACCAGATTGTCCACACAGGGAATCTGATCCAGCTCATCCTGTGGGAGCTGGCACTTAAGTCACTGGGCAGCCTGCGGAGTAGCTCCTTAGGGGTCAGTTGCCAGCATTTGCACTAGGAAGGGAGCCTGCATCGTCACCAATGAGGATTAATCCCCTTTCCACATGCTGGCCCTGCATAGCTGTTGAGGGTTCAGAGGTGAGCGCTGAAGATGTCATTCCTCCACTAGATGATCTCATTCTAGAGGGGAAATAAAGCCACCATGGCTTATGGCGCTAGCTCTGAAGGAACTAGATGAGACCTGAGATAGAAGATAACAGAGAGGGACCTGCTGTCTGGAGCAGCCAGTGATAAGCTGTGGAAGTAATGTTCCAGCAGAGGGAGGGGTTGACCACTAAGTCCTGAGTGGGGAAGCCTAGTGAGCCCAGAGGAGGAAGGTTGGAAGGTTAGAAGTAGCAGTCTGGGTTTCCTTCTGAGAGTGATGAAGGGTCCACTGGACAGTTCTGAGTGGGAACTGGGGAGGCCATAGTTCAGATTTTGGTTTAAGAAGAGCACGCCTATGTCATTAGAGCCTGAACAGGGTAGACACTGGGATGACTCTGGGAAGGTTGCGCGCCGTACGACAAAGCAGGCCAAGGAAGACGCTGGGGTTGAAAACCCCTTGAACAAGTATTTAAACAGGGCAGAGATTGCCAGCACAGCCTTCAGTTAATTCAGGTGTGTGAGTGGACATGGCGACTGGCTAGCCAAAGAGAATCTGATTATCAGCTTTTTTGACAAAAGCTGCGTCTGAAGGACAGACTTGATGCCTCTCCCTGGCAGAACAGAGCCTGCTCAGAGGACTGTGCTCATGTGACTGGGGACTGTCTCGTGGGAAGCATTTGACCACACAGGGCTGTGAGAGCTGCAGAGCTCAGGGCTGTGATAGGCGAGCAGGGTTGCTAAGAGGTGATAGCCAGGACTGGTAGGGGTGAAGGTAGGGAGGTGGAGGCAGATGCAGGATTCCCCACTGTACACAGAGTTCCTCAGCAATGAAGTGGCATCTGGGGGCGGGGGCCCCTGTTGGTGGAGGTGTTTCCTGGTTAACATTGGGCAACATATCCGGGTCTGCTGGAGAGCTGCTCAAAATACAGATGCTCAGGCCCCACCCCCAGAGGTTAATTCCTTAGGTTTGGAGTGGGGCCCTGGAACCTCCATCTTGAACCAGCTGTTAGCTGCCGGTGCTGTGTGTCTGGGAATCGGAGCCACTGGACTCGACAGTGCTTGTTAGTGTGGAGGGTGGGGTTTGGAGCAGATGCCCTTGGGGCCTCTCAGCCTCAGTTGAAGACCAAATGGTCCCAGCTATTCTCTTAGGAAGTCGGGGACGAACTAACAACTTCAATTAGGGACAGAAGGAGGAAGCAGGATGTGACGGGCTCTGGCAGGACAGCCATGGCTTTAGTCACAAAACCTGATTATTCCTGGGAAGAAGGCAGTGAAGACTCAACTCACTCTGTCTGCTGATTGGCTGTGCTGTGTCCTCCCATCTCCCTGCCCAGGTGATCTGTGGCTCCAAGTATCTCGTGCGGGGCGAAAGTGCCCGCGACCATGTGGATCTGCTGGTCTCTTCCCGCCATTGGCCACCTGTCTACGTGGTAGACATGGCCACACCAGTGGCCCTGTGTGCTGACCTCTGCTACCCAGAGCTGACCAACCAGATGTGGGGGAGGAACCAGGGCTGCTTCTCTAGTCCTGCGGAGCCACCTGTGGTGAGTTCCCTTCTGAGGAACTGGAATAAATCCCGCAGACTCACCATGTTTCACCTCCTGGTTCTTTGGGAAGGCCTTACGGGAACCATCTCCAGCATCCTTTGTCTCCGCTACTATTTTGTCTTGATGCTCTGAACCAGCATGTACTCCACAAATTTTTACTGACCAATCCCTGTACGTGTGAGGCCACAGCATGTCACTGAGGAGTGCCCAGGATGTCCCAAACACAGATATTTTGGAGTCAAAGGAGTTGCCCTCCAGATAAGCCTAGAAAATTGCCGCTTTTTGGAGACATCATGCGTGTTGGTGTACTAAAGACCCAGACCAGCCAGGTGTCGGATTTGACCATGAATATACCGCATGGCATACCTGTTATGATTTAGAGGTACAGAGGCTTAGAAAACACCGGTCGTATCCAATCTACTCTTCTTACTAAAAGGGTAGAGTAAGGTCCAGAGAAGGGAGGTGGACTTATCCAGTGTCACAAAAACAGATTAGAGGCAGAGCCCTTGTCTCTGCTTTTTGGTGCTTTGAACCAGGCAGTGATTCTTACCAGACACATGTGCCCTTTGCTGGAAGACATGTTAGGACCGGCAACAGGAAAAAGGGGGACATCATTGTCATCATTCATCTTTTCCTTATTCCCTGGGACTCACTGGCTCTGCGAGCTTGTGCTGGGCACTGCCGAAAGGCGAGTGAGCCTCAGCGAGGGCCCCCTTCTCCCCACTCCCCGCAGCCCCAGCCTGAATTGACTAGGCACAGTAGTAAGTGATAACAGCTCAGGTAACCCAACATCTGTTCTGGGGGGTGGCCTCTGTTGCTGTCCCCGTCCTCACGAGGAGACAGAGGCACCGAGGAAGAAGAGAGGGGACTTGCCCCAGGAGATGTAGGCATATGTGGAGACGTGAGGGTTTACTGGGCTGACTGACCCCACAGCCTTCATTCTCCCCCACCACACAGCTTCTGCCTCAGTCATTCCCTCATGTCAGAGTGGTTTCTTCTCTCTCCTCTAGAGTGTATCCTGCCCAGAGCTCTTGGACCAGCATTATACTGTGGACGTGATGGAGGCTGAGCACTCCGTCCAGCACCCGGCCACCAAGACTGCCGCACGGCACATCGTCCATATAGACACACAGTCCAGTCTTGGTGACCCCAGTACCGGGCACCACTCTTCAGCTCTGTGCCCTGAGTTAGCACCCTACGCAGCCATCCTGGCCTCCATTGCAGACAGCAAACCAAACAGTGTCCGCCAGCGGCCCATTGCCTTTGACAATGCCACCCACTATTACCTCTACAACCGCCTCATGGACTTCCTCACCAGCCGCGAAATCGTCAACCGGCAGATCCATGACATCGTGCAGAGCTGCCAGCCTGGCGAGGTGGTCATCCGTGACACCCTCTACCGCCTTGGGGTTGCTCAGATCAAGACAGAGGCTGAGGAAGAGGGTGAGGAAGAGGAGGTGGCTGCAGTGACAGTATAAGCCAGGCTCTTGCACCGGGACTGGGACTGCACCATCTCAAGCCATAGTGAGGCCCTTGCCCGAGGCAGATCCATCCAGGGAACCAGCGGGAATGTTCACCTTTGGGGAGGCCTCTGATGCTGGGACTGACCAAAGAGCTTCCCTTTCCAGAGCATGGTGGGGCACGGGAGCCATGGTTCTCAATCTCCTGGGGGTCAGGAGAAGCACCAGGACACTCCTTACTAGCCCCAGAGAGCACTTAGGGGATATAGGATGTTCAACAGAGGGGAACGGAGGCTGAGGGAATGCTGGTAGCAGACGGCTTCCCTGGGGCCTGCTGCGGGTCCGGGTCGAGGTCCTGGGGTGGGCTGAAGCGGAGTCCGGCCTTCCGGGGGGGAAGGCCACTGAGGTAGCTCTTCCCACCCCAGGGAACGCTCTTTCCAGCCCCTGTGGCCACACAACTTCCTTTTAGCCTGTTGCCTTTGACTTGGGGGCCTTTGGGGCCTCATTAGCTCTAGGGGTCCCTTTGGGCTCTTGATTTTCCCAGAGGGGGGGTGCATTTCCTTCCTACTCTTCCTGCACCTAGATTTGGGGGAAGCTGAGGAAGGAGAAACAGCCACCGCTCTCTTCTAGGACTGTCTTCTCTGCCCTGAGCTTTAAGGAAGAGGATCCCCTTCCTCCTTTCCCTGGCCACTGCTGCTGCACCCCACATCCTTTCTGGGCCCTGGATCCTCACCACAGAAGGGATGTGGCCCACTGGCATGACATAACCTGGCGGCAGTAGGAAAAACTCCCTTCTGTGAAGGGGAAGCAGACTGGGCCATAAGGAAACAGCGGGACTGGCTCAAGTGCCTAAGGTTTGCTTAGGGCACGGGAATTGGCCGTGTGTTATTTAATTTATTGAGAGGAGTGGAGTAGGTGGCTTTTTTCCCCTCCTTCCCCTGCCAAGAATAAAATTTATTAAATTATCTGTTTTGGTGAAGCAAGAATCAATTCCATGCTCCTTGTGTGGGGCACAGTGTGGTTGAACGGCCAAGGTGCTGAGCTGGTCACTGGACATGAAGAAGGATGGAAGGAGGTCCCAGGGAATCCGCAGGCCCTCATGTGGCACAAAGAACCAGAGGCCAGCTGTGTTAATGCTGTTAGTTTAATGACAGAGACGTCCCGCAGCGTGACTGTTAGTTAAGAGGAGTCAGCTTGTCGGAGTGTGTGCTGCTTGCTTGGTGTGGCCAGCCACACGGGTCCCCTGCCTTCCAGCTCAGAACGACAGGGTGGGGGTGGGGGGGGGGCAGAACCCCGAACTTTTAGCTGCCACCTGGCT